GGAATCGCCGAAGTCCTTTAACGACTTTTGACTGTACTAGGAAAGGGTACCGTCAAATTTGCAGTAAAAGTAGACAATCGACTAAATTGGATTGAGTTAGATAATGTGTTATATAATCTAAATCTAAGGAGAAATTTACTATCAGGACCAAGGTTAGAAAAGGCAGGTGCTCATATTGTGATTTCAAAAGAGAAGATGAGGATATCTTTATATATATAAGCGGCTAAAGTGTGTGTCGCCGATAGTTTATTGTTGCCACTCATAAAATTTTTTGCAGAAATTACTGTTTCTGCAGTTTTTAATTAATATCTCGGCCGATTAAAGTCGTACGAAGATGAGAACGGTATTGATGAATTCGGAGAATTTTTTGGAATCCTAGGATATGCGTCTCGAATGTTAATGTTGTGCCGTTCCGTAGATATTTGAGAAAAGAATTTGGCACATAGCCAAATCCCTCTAATAGGGAAAACCCAAGAAAGAAAGTGGAAAACCTAGGGGAAAATTAGTTTTTAATTAAGATCTCGGCTAATTAAAGTCCCACGAAGACGCGAATGTTCAAAATGCCGTGCTACGGACCTGCGGAATACAGCGGTGACCTTTGCTAATCCCAGAAGCCAGCCATTTCGGAGGAGATAATGTTACTTCACCCCATATATACATATATATATGCAGCTTGTCTGTTTGTCACCGATAGTTTATTGGTTGCTTGCGTAACTGTACTAGCCAATGGGGTGATTTTGCCACGGCACAAGGTTGCCGTTTCAGTTGAGATGTAGACAATTTCTTGTAAAACTTGTCTTTGCTATGACCATCAATAAGTCTCAGGTCCAAATGCTTAAGCATGTTGGCATTTTTTTACCTGAGCCTGCATTTGGACACAGTCAACTTTATATTGAATGTTCAAGAGTTCGTGAAAGAACGGGCATAAAATTTAAAATAATGGATGGTCCTCCGCAAGGCGAGCTTAAAAATGATGGAAAGATCTACACAAGAAATGTTGTGTACAAAGAGATCTTTGACATGTGAATTAACATTTTATTATTTAAATCACCATATTTATTGAGCTGCGCTCTAAAATGTGGATGGTAGATTATTAAATAGCAAAAAATCTAGAGAAATGATATCATTAGCAACCCTTGACAATATTCATTTAATTTAGGGGGAAAGATGTGCATTTACTTTAATAATTGGGATAGATTATGCTACGCTAAACGATATGACGGACTTTATCACGTAAAACCATTTAGATATGCAACAGATAAAAAGGAAGCTGGTTACGGTACAGAAATTGGAAAGTTAAATAAAGTAGACGATGCAATGCTATGGCATCGGAGATTTAGCCACGTAAATTTTGATTATATTAAGAAACTAGTAAGAATCAAAGCGTGAAAGGGTTACCAGAAATTGAAAAACCAATGGAGAGGTGTGAACCGTGTATTATTGCTAAATCTAGTAGAATAACTTTTAAAACTGTTCCGAAGAGATCGGAATAAACCATTGCAGTTGGTTTATTTAGACGTTTGTGGCCCACTCCCAGTTCCATCTAAGGGTGGGAGTAAATATTTCTCTTGCTATTGTGGATGACTATAGTAGATTAGTAACAGTGTATTGTATGAAAAAAAAAATGAATCGTTCTACAACTTTAAGAATTATCATAGGCAAATGGAAAGACTGACGAATAGAAAATTAATAAGTATACGCACCGATAATGGTGGGGAATTCTGTAACAGGCAATTCGAAGGGTACTTAGCCGAAAATGGAATTAGTGTTGAACGCACAAACGCGTACACCCCAGAAGAGAACGGTGTGTGTGAACGTTTTAACCGAACGGCATTAGACGCAGTTAAAGCTATGCTTAATGATGGTAAAATGGGAAAAGAATGGTGGGCAGAAGCTCTTGGCTGTTTCGTACATACGTGGAACAGAGTATGTCATAAAAGCAACCGAACCCCTTATGAAATGTTCCTAAATAGAAAACCCAGTGTTGTTTATTTTAAAGTATTTGGTTGTAAAGCCTATGTTGGCGTGCCAAAACAGATTAGAAATAAATTACAAATGAGGTGCAAAGAAGGAATCATGGTAGGATATGCGAAGGAAACTAGGGGTTATAGGATATGGCTGCCAGAAGAACGCAGATTAATAGAAACCTGTAATGTGAAGTTCGATGAAAAACTGTATGCAGCAAATGGCATCCTGGAACAGAAATCAAAAACCTAAATTTAAAAGACTAGAGGAATCTGAGCTATTAGCAGAATCAGATGAAGAACAGGAAACTTTCTAGAGAAGAAATAAAGTTGTCAGATGACAAATCTACTCCGAAAGAAGTATCAGACTTAAACTGGCAAAGAAAAGCAGTTAAAAGGCCAGATGGAACACGTACAGACATATATTTATTATGTAGAGGGAACAGACACCCGTTTTAGATCCTATAATGATATTGAAAAGTATTGTGAGGCAAGAAATATTAAATTTGAAAAAGATAAGTTTGATTTTAGTGGAAAAAAAACGAATACTCGGGGAAAGTTAATTTTGTAGAACAGGAGACTAGCTCCGTGTCTGAAGAGGCAAATTCCGTAGAAATTGTTATCCCACAAAATTTTAAAGAAGCACGAAAATCAGTAAATGCCGAAGAATGGGATAAGGCAATGAAAGAAGAAATTGACACAATGAAGAAAAGAAAGGTTTGGGAATTAGTCGAAAAGCCAGAAAATAAAACTATGCTAGGAAACAAATGGGTCTATATGCTAAAAAGAAATGAAAAGAATCAAGTGGTTAGATACAAAGCACGTTAGTAGCACAGGGATTCAGGCAGAAAAGAGGTGAAGATTTTGATGACGTTTACAGTCCTGTAGTAAATTTTTCAATCATAAGAATATTTTTCACTATACTGGTATGTTATATGGATGGACTAATTGTCAGTTAGATGTAAAGAACGCATATTTATATGCAAACCTAAATGAAAAAATATATATGACCCAACCAGAGGGATTTATTGAAGAGGAAAATAAAGTGTGTTTATTACACAAGGCCATTTACGGTCTACATCAAAGCGGCCGTGAATGGTTTTGTGAATTTGAAAGTACTTTAGAAAATCTACATTTTAAGAAAATACAATGGTGTAATTGTGTTTATAAGGGTTCAAATGTAATTCTCTTGTTATATGTAGATGATATTGTGATTTTTAGTAAAGATCAATATAGTATAGATAAAGTAATTTCACAGCTGAGTAAGTTTTTTGATCTTAAAGTATTAGGCAAAACTAAAACGTTACTTGGAATTGAATTCTTAGAGAATGAGAATGGGGTTTTTATACATCAGCAAAAATATATCGAAGAAATTTTTGGAAAATTTAAACATTTCCAGATACCAATAACTTCACTTCCCATAGCTAAGGGCACTATTCTTACAAAATTAGATTGTCCATCTACAAGTGCAGAATTGTATACATTACCCTTTAGAAATCTGTTGGGATGTTTACTTTTTGTAGCTAACAGGACATCTAAATTTATATTGTTATTCAGATGCTGATTATGCAAGTAATAGGGATGACCATGTGTCCATGGGAGGATTTATATTATATTTAGATGACTGGTAATCTGGAAAACTGTTAAACAAAAAGTGTAAGTTTATCAACCATGGAAGCGGAGTATATCGCCTTATCTGAAGCAGCAAAGAAGAATTAATGTGGACAAAAATGTCTTACAAGATGAAATTTTAAAGTTTAATTTAAGAGAGAATGTAAACTATTTGTGATAACAAGTCTGCCATTGATTTTTCTAGATCGCCAATAGAAAATCGTCGGACTAAAATATCACTTTAGACATAAAATATCACTATTAGAAGACTAGTAAATGATGGAGTGTTTGACCTTGAATTTATCACCAGTAAATTAAATACTGCTAACTTATTTAGAAAAGAGGCGACTGCTGTTAATTTAAGGAAGTTTTGCTTAGATGTTTTCAGTGTTTAAAGACAATAAGTGTTTTCGTATAATAGAATTGAACTGTGAACTTTTGTAATTCTGTGTAAGTTTCGTTTTAGTTTTCTTTATGCAAATTTTGATCGGAGGTCAATCGGCGGTAAGCTAATGTGGTTGCCGATGACGTCAAGATCGGCGGGTTGAAGTATTATATATATGTACGCCAGTATCGCTGAATGTGTGTTTGTTAGCATTATGCTAGTTTTCTTTCCCTCAAATGGTTTTAAATGTAAAGGCTACAGTGTTAGCTTATTTTATTTTAATTTACGGAATAAAACATGAATTTTATTTAGATTAGTCTTAGCTTTATTTAAGGGAAGCAAAATATGCTTTGCCTGTATCCCAACTGCCAATACGCGCATCATGCAAGCGCGTAATGTATGCTCTACGCATGCGCGCATTGAAAGAAATATTTAATAAAGTAAACAAATACATATTAAGCTTTTTTTTTTCGTAAAACTTGATACCCTTTAGATCATAATTGCTGTTTATTTCATAAATTACGGTTTCATATTTTTAATTGTATAATTTCTGCGTGCCGTCTTACCAGATTTAAATTGATGATCTATAATCTGGAATCGCCGAAGTCCCGACAAGTCTGAATTACGGACTTTGTACTGTCATTCATTGTCTTTTGATCTATTATTACAATGGGTTGCTACATGAAATTTTTGTGGTTTTCCTCCACATGTAGCAAAATGCAAACCATTTTTCCTTAGAAAGTGCTCCACAGCGTCATGCATTCTCCAAGGTAAATAACCTTGGTGTTCACTACATAAAAAATTTCCACTGCCTGTTACATTCAGCTTTATGCCTAAAATTAATCAAGAGAGGAGAATTTGAAGAGTATCTTTTCGAGGTTTAACTATGGGACCCTTTCTTGGCGCTCAACAACTTGGTGGGTCTTAAACTGATTCCCCTCTTTACTTGTGCTTTGGAACTCTTTACTGTTACTCAATTCTTTAACTTTTGCATCTGGTATGATCATTAATCTGAAAATCATCTTTGTTTTCCTTTTCAGGAGAATGTCAAATTATTCTGCAACAAGCTCGTCATCCTATTCTAGAATCAAAATTAGGAAATTTCATTCCTAATGATGTTGAAATATCTAAAGGTAAGTTCAGTCATGTGCCCTTTTAACTCTCTGAGTGGTATGACTGGCTTCATCTGCTCATGAGAGTTTTTGTCACTGGGTATATATTAGCTTATAATTTAAGATATTTTCATTTCTTACTTTCTTTAATAATGTAAATGTCATCTTTATGTATGTAAGTTTGTGATAGTAGAAACTTAAATAAGTAATTACACAAATTTAGCTAACAAATATTGTTTAACTCTTTGTGGCACGGTGTGCCCAGACTTAAATATTTTTTTTTTTTTTTTTTTTTTTTTTTTTTTGTATCCACAGAAAAATTGAAGGAAAAAGGATTCATAGATTACTACAGGTTACTCTGAACCTTTTTTTATTTATAGTAGATGGCAGCTCAACACAAATCAATCCATATATTTTAGCCATGTTTAGTTTTTAAAGATCATCATTTTTCAAAGAAATCTTCCATATTTTTTTAGGATATAAATGGAATGTTTGAAAAGAAATTTCTATACTATTTTCTTGGTTGTACGCTTATCTTTTTCTGTATCAGTTTTAAATTTTTACCTTGAAATCTTGCTTAAAATCGAAAGGCGAACATCATTTGTGTCCAGAGTGGGCTCAGTGAGAGACTGTGTCTTTGTTTCTTTGCAGCTCATTCACAATAGAAAGGGTTGGTCCACATCATTGTTTAATTTCCTGTTTTTCTTTCTCTCCACTTTGACGTTTGGTTATCAACTAAGAAATTATTGGGGTGATTTTCTGAAGGTCGAGTAATTTTATCAGTTAGCTGTTAGATTTTTCTTTAGAGCAGTACTCTTTCGCTTTCTTTCAAAGAAGTTTTGTTAGCGATACATTTAATAGTTTTGATTTGTAGACGTTTATTTAATTTAATTTTATAGTTTATAATTTCAAATTGTCGATATAATATTAGTTTTTTTTTTTATTATTATTTTTAATTATTTTCCGAATGGATCAAAGAGGGCTGACAATTTCTGAAGCACTGAAAGTGCTACACGAATTGCTTTCAGGTAGTGAATCTGATATGTATCCCGGTATATGTGCAAAACATGCAATATTTGGTTGTGCTTTTTTAAAGGTGGTATCACTTTCTTCGAAAAGTACCACCATGAAAAAAGTAAATGAAAGTGTAAATATGAAAAAATATCATATACCCAAGTTACTTTTTTCCCATTCATACACATGTAATCATCATATAACCCAAAAGAGCTTTTTTGGGAGGGTGTAGAGTAGTAGGTCTTCCCCATGGTACACCTTGGGTAATGGTAATCTGCTATGGTATTCAGAATCAAGTGTTTTTTTAATCGTAGGTAAAATTGCTTACTGTTTTATGCACTTCCCAGCAATGCTCGTTTTCAGCACTCTTTTCGAAGCTCTATTTAATCAGTGTGTTCCCTTCGAGCACACCCACAGAATTAAAATGATAAGTGCTATCTTCGCAAAATTTTCCTGTGTACTCCTCTAGGCCTGATTAGACTGCCTACTGTTTTTCTTTGCCAAAATTCCAATTTTAAAAGGTTGCGTGCCAGGAAGGGTTAAATGCGAATCTTCATTGACAGATCCAAAAACACATGCTGCTCAGAGAGTGAAAGGAGACTTTTTAATTGTTTCATAATCCTTTTCACTCATTTTATTTTCAGTTTGTATCTAAAAATTTTTAATAATCTTCTTAAGTAAATCAGGAAATTAAAGTAATTATATGTTAGCTCATTACAGAATAATATTTTCTATAATCGGTTGTTAAAGATAACATGATAGGTGAAATTCATGAGACTCCTTCCATAGAGGGTGAATAATAGGTACTAAGTGCGTCGGTCATCTATTTCAGAAATAGTTTGAGGGATGGGGTTTTCTTGTTGCAAGACAGAAAACATATGGCAAGAGTACTTAAATAGCAGAAAAGGGAAGAAGAATTGGGCAAACAGCAAGGCAGAAGCAGCCTTAAGTGACTGTGATCTTCTAAGACTCAACTGTATTGCATAGCCAGCAAAACTAAACTACCCATTGCACTTTGTCAGCTGAGGGTGATGGATCAGTAAAACCATTCAAACCAGTCTTGTGAAAATTTGCAAATATAACACTGTTATTTGTTGTTTGACCTCTAAATGAATACCCATTTGATTGAAAGGTTCATTCAGTCAGACAAATAGTTCATGGACTGTGCAGCCTTCACTCTATTGTATCAGCTTCAAAAGCTAGGAAGCAGAAACTTTTTAGAGTACTACATCTCACTGCACTCTCACTAGGCTCAATATCATGCAAAGAATGCAGATCACTACAAGCTGTGTTATCAGTTACTAGAAACAAGTAACATGGAGTGAATAATTCTTGATTCTGACTGACACTGATGGTAAGCTAAGAATATGTTGCCATTTCTAGGAAGTATTAGATTTAGTGTGTCCAGTTGGAATTGTACAAGGTCAGAGTGGGTCAGTGGTAATCTGGGATATTTTTTCTTGGCAATGTTTGTGGCCTTTGCTACTAGTATGCGATCACTTTCATTCTTTTCTGCTATCTGGGCAGAAATGGAGTACATCATTAAACCTGCTTCTGTCATAGATGTTGTTGGTTATAAACCTGGTTTAAGAAGCATTTTACTGAAGTCTACCTGCTGAAATGCTCACATACCTGCTGAGATACCCAGATATGAATCCCATTGAACACTAAAGATACTTTGAAAAATGTGTACGGGCACATCATCCATTATCGACATTCTTAACTAATTCATGAGCAATTCGAGAACATATCTGGCAAGCTATACAGCTATAGAGCGTTTCCATAGACATTCTGAATCCAAACTTCATTGTGTGATAGCAATTATCAAGGCCAAGAGAACAGAAACTCTTTACTGATTGGGTATCCCTAATTCTGTATATATTTATGCTATGTGAAGAGTGAGAGGTCAAAGATTTCTGTAATGAAAATGGTATGATTATCATCGTGTCATTTTATAAATTAGATAAATAGCCGGCATTTTCACTAATCTTTTTTTTTTTTTTTTTAAATTAAAATCATGAAAAGGGTAAACGTTTGTTTACTGAATATAAGAACCAAGGTAGACATATCCTACCTTAGCCTACCTACTGTAGGAAAATGTGAAGGGATTAAAAAAATTAAATCCTGTAAAATGCATATCACTCTTTAGAATCATTTTCATGAAATTTCTGTGGTGGCAACCAGAAAAAGCCACAATTGATTCTTTGAAAGGCTTTAAAATTTTTGGCTGGCACTTAACTAACCCTTCTTAACTTCTGATTAACTGTACCCTTTGCCAAAAAGTCATTAAATCAATGACTTTGGAGGGCATTTGCGAAGTTGATGGCAACTAATTTTTTTGCCTTGCTGATGTGTCAAATGCAACATCCATTTTCAGCTTGACACTGCTCGAAGAATTCCATACAAGAACAATTAGTCAATAAAATTAAGAAAGCAAGAAAAAGTACTTAGCTTTTTTCCCTCCTGCATTGTTCTTTCCATGTATGCAGCAATCTGTTTTTGCTATAAAAAACACAGAGATTTTCGCATACTCTGCATCCATATAGTTTCAGTATTTCGCACTGGCCAAAATAGACATGTGCTATGCTCATACTTGAGTTGCCACATAAATACTTTTTGATGAAGTCATGGGTTGCCTCATAATTATTTTGACACCATGCTGCTTTGCCCATGAATACTTTTTTTATGACTTAGAAGGGATACAAATAATTAAGAAGTATCTTTTAGTCCTCTGTAATTGTATAATTATTATTAAAATAATGAATAAAACTCATATTAGAAGTCACAATGATATGAGCACATAAATCATAAATGCAATTTAATCATAAAACAGATTTTGAAATGGGTTTTTGACTATATATTGTGCCTTAGTTTCTTATCTAGTTTACAAAGGGAATTATATTTAGTGATTTGTCGTACTCCTTCGCAAAATTATTTTGTGCCAAGGTATTAAACAAGTATGAAATTAATTATGTTTTTGTGAGAAAATTATAAATTTTTTATAATCGTAAATGAATTAGTTAATTTGTTTTGTAGTCATGGTTTTCAAATATCATGTACATAATCATTGCAGTTTTCTTTTCAGTTGTTTTCATTCGATGTCTATAAAATTAATACATGTGTCCTTTTTTCTTTTCTGTTGTTTTGTGTAAATTAGGACTGATGTATTCTTTGTAGTTGTTGATGTTATGGTCTTAATCTTCCAGCACGTGCATGTCATATTTTTTAAGACATCTTTTATTGTACCGTTTTTGGCACGAAAAATGACAGAATGAGTGAATATTGATAATAAATTTGTTAAAACATAAAATATTAACCTTATTATTGCAAAATACAAGTGATATCACATGACAGTAAATTATTTTTAAACACTTGCCAGGTGGAAAAGCAATGATGTATATCATTATTGAAATTGAAAAATTTATTATTTAATAACTATATTTTAAAATCCAAGCTAGTTTTAATATTCATCTGTCCTGTATTGTTGATTTATCATCGAAATAAATCTATAAATCCAGAAATAAAAATCTCTTGTAGCTCATCACAGCTCTTGTTATTTCAGTTCCAGTGCCATCACTTGAGAACAATTCTTTTGCATTTACATGGTGTCCTTTTTTTTATTCCTATCATATATAACAATCTCTGTCTCTTGAGTATGTTGTCTTTTAGCAAACTTATATATTTATTTGTACATTCCAAAATTTCATCAAGCATATTTATATCAACTATTTTCAAAAATGTTCCTATTTCATCCTTTATATCCTTGGCATGGTGTTTTAGGTCAGGTAACACTCACAATATTTCATCTTTGAGCAGTTTGCATACTTCTGTTTTTGCCACTCAGAAGATTTATCCTTACTAATACAGAATATACCATCATCATTTCTTTTTTCTAAATCATTATTACTATCATCATCCAAAATATATTGTTCAGATTCACTGCTGATGATATTTATCTCTACATTTTCCTCACTCAGATCGCTATTATTCTCATATCCAAAGCTTTCCTTGTCTTTTTTTTTCCTTCATCAGATAATTCTTGAAGAATGCGAGCAAAATCAGCTGTTTGCAAATATTTTTTTGCGATGAAAGCCAATATAAAAATTATAGAGTCGAATTTATATAAATTAAAATAATACATGTCAATTAATAATATAAAATGACAAAATAATTGAGAAAAAAATATTTTCTGAAATTTCACCCACGACCATACGCGTGTTATTAACTTTTGCTAAGAAGCTGCCATGTAGCGCAAAAGCCCAGTAAAAAAACAAAAAGGTCATATGACTTCCTTTAGATATATTCCATGATGTGGGGAAAGGTTGAAAGGAGGATAGAAATGTCATTCTAACGTCTCAGCTGCGATATGCGAAAAATGTGCATTAAAAACCGAATTTGTCATAAACTTTGTGAATAGCGCACGTGCTGAAAGGTTAATTTGCACTATAATAAATAGTTGTGCAATTTGTGTGATGCTTCTGAAACTAACATTTTAATATGAATTAAAAATCATGGTTCGAGGGCAACATGAAGAGTCATTCTTATAAAATCCCCCCCTTTTTTTTTATTTGAAGAGACATTCTTATAAAATCTCCCCACCCCCTTTTTTTTAATTTATTTTTTATTTCTTGTATTTATGGGTTTTTTTTTTCTTAAATAACTTTTTTTTCTTTCAGAAAAGCATATATTTTATTTTGTTACTGGTCCTAATATGGGAGGGAAGTCAACTTATATCAAATCTGTAAGTTCTTAACAAATTTCTTTTAGAAATTATTATATTAACAATTTGAAATCATTCTACAAATATTATTCTAAGCCTGTTATGTATACAATGTATGACAGAAATATATCAAGTATTTATTTTGTTCTTTGGCTGTGTTATTTCATTTGTTATTTATCAGCTGAACATTATTTTTATTTGAAATATTAATTGAGCTTTTTATGACCTTTTTTCTCTGATTCTGTTGCATGTTGCAAATTTATAGAAAAGTTGAACATGAAGATTTGGAACATTGTTGAGACAAATAATAACTCTTAAGGACCGTTCCCATTGGGGTTATCTGAATCAGTTCCATCTGTTGATTAGGTCTGCTATAAGAAGTTCAAATTTTTCAGCTGAAGGAAGATTGTTTTTTTCCATTCCGTAAAGCAGAATCCGCTGTTAGCTCCAGTAAATTTTAATGTGAGCTATCCTTTAGTCAAAGTAAACAATTAAAAATATCCCAAAGAGGAAAACAGAGAATGGTAGGAATTCATTTTAACTTATGAGGAATGTTACAAATTCCTGAGCAGTCTTAACAATTAAAGCAGCATCTAAGTGGTTCATAGCTACTTAAAATATCCCATGTGTACCGTTACTCAAGGGAGAGAGGGGAAGGCATTTCTGGAATCTTTCAAAGAAAACTTAATCCTGTTTTTTCTAGAATATGTTTTCTGGAAATTTCCAGAATGTCATCAGATTGGCAAATAATTGCCAAATATCACCAATTTGGTGGGAAAAGAATTGTCTCTGAGGTTTAGTTTGGAATTTTGTCTATATCCTTGATTGTACTTCATTTCAACTTACAATTTAATTGTTAATATAAAATTAAATCATATAAACACAGTCAGCAGCTAAAAAACAATTACAAAAATCATTAAATAAAATACTTGATAAATAAATATAAAGTTACCATACAAAATGTATTAAGTAAATGAATGAATGATTGGAAGCAACAAAAATATAATTGAGGATAAATACTTACAAAAATAATACATATGACCTGCATTTCATTGTTCTATGATATTTTCCATATTGTAGCAAGAAAAATTGTATGACAGTTTTACAATGAATTTTATTTGAAAAAATAAAACATTGTAGAAAATCTGCAATCGTCTTTACTGAAATGTGCATTTAAACTGCCACTACACACCATTTAATTATTTTGAATACTTCAAATCATTTTCTAGAACTCTCTCAGGTTGTTAATGATAATGTAGCAGCTCAATGAGCAGTAAATGCTTGCACCAGGAAACATCCAAATATCAATATGAAAGGCCAGGTTTCACTTTGCCTTTCATGGTGCAATATGTAGTTTCTTTGCTGACATCTTGGTTTGACTTTGGTTAGTGTCACTTACTACTTTCAACAGCACTGAGGCCACTGCAATTGCCATCCATATTAAAGAAATTTTTTCACAAGACAGTGGCAGCGTAGCAAGCTAAAGCTTGATCTTCATATTGATGATCATGGATATGATATGGAAATATGCTTCAGCACACATAGAGAAAACAGTAAACTATGTCACATATACTGCAGCACTCTTTATCATAGTGCAATAAAAAAAACCAACTAATCATGCCCATGCACCAGGGACCACAAGGTACTAATGCAGTGATTAATTACATCAGTGTGCGGATCTCACAACCACACCTAATGGTAATTAGTTGCATCTTATAATGCATTATAAAATGATACAATTTGATTTTAATCAACTTGGTAATTAGTCAGTACTGCTAGCAAGAAACAGGTACAAATATCAACATAAAGCCCAAAATGCACTTTGCATGAGCAGTATGAAGTTTATATTCTATGCTGCAGTTTTTGGTTTAATCTTCAAGTTCGCCTTCCATGAATCCTATGTCAGTAGTGATATGGCAGTTATCAACCTTATAGATGGTGTAACAAGACAGCAAAAGTATTCACAAGACAACTGTATTTGCAAGCTAACATTAGATCTTTCATAATATGTATGTGAAACTGCCTTATTATTATTGAATAACTTTTAATTTTTTAAGAAACAGTTTCTCATTTTAGGTTGCGCTGAATGTTCTTCTGGCTCAAATAGGATGTTTTGTGCCTTGTGATGAAGCAACTATCTCCCTCACAGATGCCTTTTTGACTAGGATTGGTGCTTGCGATAAATCTTCAAAAGGAATCTCAACCTTTATGTATGAAATGCTTGAAATTCAAATGATAATTAGGGTAAAGTGAGACTTCAAATTTTTAACACCTTTATTGAAAACTGTGATAAAACAGAAATATTTAAAATAAGCATTCCGTGTTACTGTAATCAAACCTGAAATATCAAAATTATGTGCTAAAACTCTGCTAATAAAAATACCTTGTGTTAATTATATTATTTTTATGTCAAAATAAGTGTTCTGAGCAACTTGAGGAGAATACTTTGCAAAGTATTGAATTGAATATATCATTTTTGCAGAAGCTTTTGTCATTGATGCTAATAATTAAAACATTTATCATTGATGCTAATAATTTAATTAAATTAAAAAATGAAATGAATAATTTATTTACTTTTATGATTGTTCTCAGGCTGGTTGGGACTATATTCCATTTGGATGTTTGAAAAATCTGTAGAACTGTATTTGCTTTTTCTGTACGTCTTATCTGTATGTGTTGCCATTTCAAAGGTTATGCAGATAAACAAATTTGTATCGACAGTTGAAAAGTTATTTAAAATTTTTGGAGCACTATGTTATGTTACTGTGCATTTATCATCCGTTTGTTTTGACCAGTGTTGCCACTTTGGGAAACATCACACCACTCTATCCTGGTGACTGTTCAATCCATAGTTAATCAGTTATCAGTGATTTTAGCAGACATTGATGTCCTTTTAAATTTATTTTAAGAATTTATCTAAATTTATTGCATCATTCTGCTCTAGTGGCATGTTTTATGATCATCTGCCTTGACAGACACTCATATCCTCTGATTTAATTTTATTCTAAAAATTAATCTAAATATGTCACCTTAAATTTGATGACAAGTGACCATGAAAATGTAAATCACTGGTGATAAATTGCTTTGATGGGCAGGTGTCAATGTCTTTTGACTTAATTTCAATAATTCTAAGTAGCTGTGCTCCTCCATTTCAGTCAGTTATAGGTGAACTACCAGTAACCCATCATGGGTGATAAGCTGCTTTGATGGGATAGTTTATTTTAATAATGCATCTAAATTTAATGTACTTGTCTCATACCAGTACCTGTCACATGTAATCAACTACTTTGATAAGTACTGGTATCTTATTTTTTATTTTAAAATCTACGTAAATTTGCTGTGTTGCCATATATCAGTTACTTATGGCAGTGGTCTGAAGCTGAAATTGCTTATGGTTTGAAAACAGCTGATGGAGCAGATTTTTTTAATCAAAAGAGAATTGTTTAAAAGAAATTTTTAATTTCACTTACTAAATATTCATAAACAATAATATTAATATCATAGAGGGGAAAAATTACATTTGTATTTTTACTTGAAATGTAATTTTTTTTTTTTTTTTTTAACCTGCAAGACATTTACATGTAATTCAAATATATTAAATGCCAAATATCGAATTTTCAGACTAACGTTTATTTCAAATAATTTGAACATGTTCAATTAATCGTTAAATTGCTTACTTTAAATTAAAGTAACTAAAAATAAGCACATTTAAAAAAATTTCTAGGCACTTGAGAATAAATAATAACCTACTCTATTTTTCTTATTTATTAAATTTTCCTTCAACACATTTTAAAAAAATATGTATGTTTTGTATATAAATAGTTATAAGCTTCTTTATGTCTTACTACAGCTTGATACTTGATGGTGCTAAAATTCTGATAAATTTTGTAGCCTTGGAAAGAAATTCCCTTCATTATTCAACTGATTTCCTTAATAATCTCCATTATTATTTGGAAAAAAAAAGAAAAAAAAAAAAAAAGATTCATATATAAATGTATTCCCAAACAAAGCAATTGTTCTTAGTGCAAAAATTCATTACTGTGCTTATTTTTTCTCAAGTACAACTAAAATTTTATCACATTGTTAATTAATTAGCACCATTTACAGATTTTCTGGTGTGTTAACCAGCAAGCTACCAATTTCAGACCACTGGTCTATGAGTTGGCTGCCTCTACTTGTCTTGGGCAATAAATTGCCTTAACTCTTTCATATTGAGAGAGGGCAAAATCTCTTTTCCCCAAACATCGAAAACACCGTGTCTACGAATTTCTCCTGGAATGTTTTTCCTTCCCCCTATGACAAATTGAATACTACAGCGCTAACAATAACCTACTTAAGTAAAGCGAGAACTTCTTTCGTGGATGCTTTCACCCTGTGTGAAGTTCCTTCTTGGGACGGGATTGCAACTTTCGGCATCAAAAGCTAAACATTGACAGTAAACAAAGGAAAGAGAAGGTGCATTAAAATAATAGAACTACTTTTAGTTGCTTCGAAAGAATGATTGACATGTCATTTAACAACACCTGAAAGTAATAAGCAGTGCAGTAGCGTGATGGGGGAAAGCACTAGGTAAGAAATTATTCAGGTGTTTGGGGCATCCAGCAAATGTCTGAATGCTCGGGCGTTTGGGGCAACTTCGATGCGAAAGAGTTAATAGGCATTGGTGTTCTATGGTTTAATTTAACAGTCTATCTAAATTTGCTGCCTTTTGCCATATCAATCAACTATGGATTGACTACTTGTGCCTACATAGATCGCAGTCTATCTAAATTTATTGCATTGTCCCATACGGACCACTTATGGGTTCATTGCCAGTGCACTTTGTCACAAATTACCATCTTCTTTGGCATGCATCTGTGTCATACCTTATTTTAATAATTCATCTGGTAATTTTTATGATCATTTGCAGCATTTTAAAATTAATGTAGATGTTTTTACTGCCATGTATTCCATACTTTGTACATAATCGTTTATTTTTATCGTAATGCAAATGATGGAATTTTGTTTTTCGTTTATCTCATTTTATTTCAATGAAATTTTGTGCAAGTAAAAAAAAGGATTTTTGATTTTCATGAAATTAAAGACAAAATGTATTTTGTTTTATCCAAATGCCTGTGGCAAAATTATATTGTATTTTTCTAAACTTAATGATTCATTTCTGTTTCGGCAACCAAAAATGGAAGTATTTTATTTGTATTTAACAGAATACATATTATATCAGTGGAAAACTGACTTTTTACTATATAAAATAGTAAAATTATGAAACAATAACAGAAGAAGGGTGGGGGAGAGAAAAAAATGTTAAAACTTCTTGCTCCCCCCTTTTTATTGTAATTTATTATTTGTATACTTAAAAAATTGTTACGCTTCTTTCTGTTAAAATTTCTGAAAAAGTACTTTGCAAAATTATCCTTTTCCAAAATCCAGACTATGAGATTAAATTTCAAGTTTTGCTGGACTTCTGGAATGTGAGAAGAGTAGGTTTCTGAATTACATAAAGGTTACCTTTCATTGACTTTTAATGCCAGCAAAAAATTTCAGTGCTGAATGATTTTGATTTATTAAATAAAAAATATTTTGTAAATAGTTTATTCTTAAGCCATTCGGGATCAAAAAGTTAGAGGCTCATAATGCTTTATCAAATTATTATTATTTAATTCTTTTATGAACAATCTCTTTGCCAACAGGTGCATGAAATCAAAACGTTAACTATTTCAGGAAAGGGTCAACTTGTGAAATCACAAATTGAGAACTCCATGAAATTTTTGCTTTGAAATGCCACAATTAACCTGACTTGGTCACGTGTGAGGAATATGTTCGTAAAGTGGCAAAAAACACTGTTAAGCAGTAATTTCTGTTCTGCGCAATGTATTTGAGCAAACAGACTTCTAACCTTGTGTATATTTAAAAATAAGGAAGAGGAAATGGTGGAATGTCATCTCCTATTTACACCTATGCACAAAAATTTGTTTAAATTGCAACTTTTTTTTTCATAAGTAATATTTACTAATTTGTTAATTCAATTTGAGATTCTGTTAATTTTGTAATGAAATATAATAAATTTCTTTCCTTCTTCTGTATTAAGTGCAAGTACAATTTTAATAGGTAAGGGTCTGATAATACATCATGTAAAAGGAATCCTTCATTCATAAAGTTTAAGAATCACTTCTGTAAAAAATAATTGATGATATGCTTTTTTAAAACAAACAAAAAAAATGCATTAAACTTTTTTTCTATGTGATTTAAATTTGTAATATCATATAAAGCACAGGAAATTTCTAACATGTTAATTTCAATATTTGTTGATAATATACACACATATATAGTCACATACTCAAAATCCTATTTATTTTAACAAGTCCTGTCAAAGCCATTTTCAAGTCCATAATATAGATTAAAAATAAGAGTGTGTTTGCAAATTTAAGTATTACATGAAAGGTAATTTTAAAATAACTTATTTTTTTCCTAGTCAGCTACATCTTCTTCATTACTCATAATAGATGAAATGGGGCGTGGGACATCTACTTACGATGGGTTTGGCCTCTCTTGGGCAATATCAAGGTTTGTTTAATATTTAATCATTGATTTGTTTTGTTAAATGTTTAAGCATAGCTTGTAAAATTGTATGCTTACACTAGTCTGTTTTGAATATTTTTCTAGGCATATTGCAGAAGTTATAAAATCTCCATGTTTGTTTGCAACTCATTATCATGAATTAACTGAATTGAGCAAAACTGTTCCCATCATAGGCAATCTTCATGTTGAAGCTCTTTCTATGGAAGGAGATATTATTTTTCTGTATCGTGTGAAACCCGGTAACCATGTTTACTCTTTTGCATTAAGTAATTGGAATTTGATTGATTTTTACAGGGTTCGTAGCGGTCCTTATAAGTGCTTATAAGTCCTTATATTTGAAAATAAAATATAAAGGCCCTTCTAGGTGCTTACTTTTTCTTTAAAGCCCTTATTTTTTTATTTTTTATTTTTTTTTTTTTTATTATTTTTTAGTGCTTATTTTTCACATTTAGGGCTTTTTTTTAATGAACGTGCTATTTTTCCCCATACCAAAGCCGAAACTAAATAAACAACTTTTCTTCCTAATATGGAATGTCAGATGGTGAGTCATACTCCCGGAAAATAGTTTTTTCGCCTTTCTCTGCATTAACATAACCTTTGGTGTGCACGAAGAGTACAGACATGTGGTGCCCGTCGTTCTATTGGTCAAAGAATTGCGAAAGCAGGTAGAAAATTTCCGACTACATTCGGCATTCTTTTCCTCCCACCCCAAAATACTACACACGTTTGAATTTCTATCAAGATCTTTAATAATTTGCAATTCTCGTTCCGCGTTGGTCAGTTCATATTCGTGTTTATTATGATCGTTATGCTTATATTATGAGCCTATGTATGAATGTTTATAATAAATATAGTTGCAGTAACTGCTGAAATATAGTAAACTTCCAAAAGTGGTTGTGTTTTAACACAGATTAGCTTTCTAAGGAATAATATTCGGAATGGCTTAAATAAAGGGAAAGTAATAGAAAAGTCAAAATAATTTCATTTTTTTTGGCCAATACATTATGCAATACGAAGGTTGGGAGGTCTCCCCTTTCTCCGCAAAATCTTGAATATTGAAACTAACAGTTCGATGCAAAACAAGCAACGGACCTTTTTTTTTTTTTTTTTTTTTTTTTTTTTTTTCTTTTGGTCACTTTCCAATCTGGATTGAATAGGACTAAAAGTTCTGCGGTCTACCAACCCAAGCGAAGAATGATTCTATTCTGAAAATTTAACGCCGTCTGTTGAAAATTAGAATGAAAAACACCCCAGTTATTTAGTTCTTTATTCTGCCAATACCGGCAGTTCTTGATTCCGATTGCATAATATCACGATTGCATAAGGAAGAATTACGGTGCACGTATTGCGCAATAACGTTATTTTGCAGAGGTAATTAATTTTGATGTTCAGTCCGAGATTTGTTTACGAACACTTAAAAGAGTTTTACTGTGCTTTCTAAGCAGAATATTTTTTAGTTCTGTTGGTTTATTTTTATATGATTCACATATCAAAATGTCAAAAGCATTTATTTAGCGGAAAAATCTAAAAAGTGGCTACAGTCAACCCCCCCCTCCGCTCCTCTTTTTCAAGTTACGCTCAACTGTCCGAATATTCGCCAGTTTCCAAGTATGCGGCTTAGTTAAGCTTTTACTGTTAAAGGATGACTGCATGAAGCAAATTTCTATCTTCTGATTTCAGAAATGTCCTTCTTTTTTAAAATTACTTTGCTTGCAATATATGTTAAGAGAAAACTGATATACAATGAAAATTTAGAAAATGTTCAGAATTTAGATTTAAATTATTTAAATACCAATATGAGTGGAAAAATAAATTGTATTTATTATTAGGTTCCAAGCAAATATAATAAATATGCCTTATTATTATTTATTTTCTCTATTTTGAACTGAAATTTCATCATTAAATCTTGTAATATAGTTTAGTTCTGCATAGTTTTTTTTTTCTCTCATTGCAAACTAGTTCTGTATATTGAACTGTTATTTAAAATTTAAAAAAGAGTAATTATTATCCGTGGTTGAAGTAATGCTTATTCTCTTTTAATAAATACTGCATTTCTCATATTTTAAATTACGAGTCTAATTTTTAAGGTTATGCAGTTGTGTATAATGTAATTAGACAGGTGCTTATTTTTTTTCTTAAAATGTGCTTGAAAAGTGCTTATAGGTGCTTATTTTTTTAACTAAAATGTGGCTATGAACCCTGTTTTATGTTTACACTTGTTATTTTGTTTAAAGAATCTGATTTTATGTGATGAAAACTGTGTTTCTTATTGCATACCCTGTCCATTAAAATCTTTCTGTGACCATTATCTTCACAACCCTTGGTCACAGACATATAATTCAGCTCTTGATACAAATATTCAAAATTTGGCATTTTAAAAATCAATTTTATTTATTTATTTATTTATTTATTTATTTTTTTTTACTTACCTCACTTGTCTTATAATAACATCAGATCAATTCCACAAATTTTATTTTGACCAGGAGTGTAAGGTTGCATCTATTGAGGGCATGGGTTTTGAGCACCTTTTTTGATGATATTACAGTTGTTAATAATACATTTACAAACATCCAATCTTTCAAAGATTATAGCTGACTTTTTCTGATAGTCCCTCGGTCTTTATGGTTGTAGTTGAAAAAATATATATATATTCTCATTCTTATAAGTGAAACAGGGGGGAAGAGGATTTCTTTGGGACAAAATTTCACTGAGCTATTTAAAGTTTCTGATGAGGTTTCTCTGAACACTCAGGCCTTGTACACAAATTGAAGAGCAAAATTTGTATGTAGATGAAATACCAGTTTAGGAAAAAGTTTCTGGTGTTAATAGATTAAGTAACAGGCATTGAAATGCAGATTGCTGTGAAAAATTTTAATTAATACTAACTTTTTTTCAAAAAAGATTTTTAGTGAGAAAAATTAAATTCATATATTATTCATAGTTATTTCTGGCCCCACAGTTGCTAAGTATTTAAGGTTGCTGGATGCTGGAAGTTTGATCCCAGGCGAATGGGCTGCCTGTGTGGTTGATTTTTGTCCTTTTCCCCTTGTGTAATGCAAATATGAGACACTTTCACTAGAAAGTCGTCCACAACAGCACCCTTTCCGAGGCAAAAAGCTTTTCAGTATTCAATAAACCTAATCCTGGTTCTTTTGATCTTAACCCATTGCCGGTTTTCACTTTGACGGCAAAAACAGACCAAAATGTCTCACAAAAGTTTTCACTTTTGTCCTCAAAACGGGCTTGCCTCCAAGACTCAGGGTGTCTCAAAATGGTTTTGCCTAGAGCAAAAACATTTCTCCCCCCTATTCATTTTCCGTCTGTTAAGCATTCAAGAAGACAGAGAGTTGTAAAACTGAAGCGTACTCAAAGCTTAGATCCTCCTAATCGGGTTTTCCCCTCGGGTTATTTGGGGCAGGGATGAACCATAAAGCCTTCAACTTGTGTTCTGTAAAAACGTTAGCCCGTGTCCCTGACTTATTCTATGACTGAGGTGTTTGTATGAAGCAAAAATTAAGGATTAGAGTTTCTACGACATTTCAGCAAGATAGCCTTTCCTATTAATCTAGATATTACAATATAAAGCAATAAATGTTTCTATGGAAACCCTACAATAATATTTAATTTTCATTTTATGCTTCTTATAACCACATTTATGAATACAGAAGTCTATTATACGATTATAGCTCCATTAAATATTTGAAATTAAATTCTGTGGAATTGAAATTAAATTTTGTGGAAATTAAAATATATAATAAAAAATGTTTCCTGCGAATTGATTGGTTGTGTAAAGTATTATTAAGTTGGGTCAAAAATAAAATAAAGGCACTTATTTCTGTTACAACTAAAATTATTATACTTATTACTATTGTTCTATTTAATTTATCAAGAAATATAAACATATCCCATTTCTTTCACGATTAGTAATATTGTATCCTCAAAATTTTTGTTATAAGAAAAAAAATCCTTTTTACCAAGTTGGATGTCAATTACGTCAAATTATGTGCATTTTTGTTTTATTTATTGGTTATTAATAATAAAGCTTCATCATAAAATCATTCAGTCTTTGATTCATGCCTAATTGCTTCAAAATAAATGCACAATATTATCATTCAGGTTGAATAATTGTTAAAAATTTCACAAATGTCAAATTTATTAATACTACCTTTAAATTTTTAAGTTCTAAATTAGAATTGCGTTTTAACTTTCACAAGGATTGCTGAGGTATTTGTCTATGAAAATTTAGTGAATTATCACAGTTTTAATAATAAACTTAAAATTTTAATCAAAAATTTAATATTCTATAATGTTATAATTATTCAGATTTAAAGCAACCTTTTTTATTACAAAATAAATGTTATATTATTAACAACTTTTAATAAGCAAGCAATCTTAATGACATCGTTTAAATATTTCAGTGTCAGTTGCTGTATAAATTTGAATGAAATGATCAAAACGTTTGAATGAAATTATTTTCGAATTTCTTTCCCTGCTACTTAAGTTAATATACAACTTTAATGTACATTATAAACGATATTTCTGTTTGAAAAATTAGTGACAGTAAACCTCTAGAAACTAGAGACCATGTTTTAATGTCACATGCAGCATGTTTAATGTTACATGCAAACTTCTTTCCACCACATTCACAAAATATTAAATTTTGAACGTTCCAGAGAAAGTTAATATGAAACATTCTGCGCTTATAATAGAGACAAGCTTATTGTCCGCGTCAAGTTGCAGTTCACGGATATGAAAATTCTCCAACACATAAATAAATAGTGGAAAAAATACAAATTCACGTAGATTTTATGAAAGTAACATTGATTGATCGATGTGTATTTTTTGCATTAAAGAGGGCAAAAACAGAAAACTGCAGTTTTTGACACCATTAAGAGTCATACATTAAAAAAAAGAGATTCTTCTGTCTAGTAGAAAAGGTTATGCTATTAGAATATGACAGAGTAGATGAGGGCTATTTGCATAAGATGAGGAATGCTTTCGTAAAGGATTTTGTAGGAAAACTGACTCGTATTCACATTCCACATGTGGAAAACCACGGAAAAAAATCATGCGCTCAATATTTTTGCCTGGGATCGAATACCGGTTGAACTACCAGTATTCGGCTGCCACATGTAGGACCTTTACACTTACAAAGAGCCTTTCGCTTAAGAACTGTTTATCACCTCTTTCCTTCCCCGATGTTAGGTTTTTGTCGTTATTAGGTTACATTGTTTACTGT